TCTACATCTATCACATCTATCATCATCCTTCTATCCATCCATGCCTCATCTATCTATCTATCTATCATACCTATCCCCTGTGTGCCATCCATTCTCATCTATCTATCCATCCATCTATCCATCTATCTATCCATCTATCTATCCATCTATCTATCTATCTCTCTATCTATCTATCCATCTATCTATCCATCCATCCATCCATCTATCAATCTTATCATTATGCTGCTGTCCTTATTGTATCGTTGTAAGTCTGGCACAACCATTTCCTTTGGGATAAATAAAGTCCTGTCTTATGTCTCTTATCTCATCTTAACAGTCTTCTCAGTTAGGACTTCATTTAGAATATATAACAAATTCCACTTGTTGCATAAAGCTTATTGGTTCTTATCTTGCTAATCAATCAACATTTTAAGCTTGCCTTGCAGAGGGATTTAATTGTGTTAAGCACGGACCCTTTTTTTAAAAGTGGAAATTCATTTTCTTGTTATTTCTTATAAGATGGAAAGAGATAAATAAAGTTTCTTACACTGATAAGATATTTTAGCAACCAGGATAAAGACAGCAGCACTCAACAGAAACGTTGTATAGCTTTAAAGCACAGGGAATGAAAACTCACAGCAAGTTAAATAACCAAGTAGAGAAAGTTAATTTAACACCAGAGTTTCCTGCTGCATTCAAGTTTTGGATGCATATTTAAAAACTAAAATATGACAGGACAGGAAGAGGTGTAAGAGTTATTCTAAACAGATGTTCTTTAAAAACGTTTTGATAGTGTGCATACTCAATTAAGTAATATCATTTGTTTCAAATCCTAATGCAAACCAATATGTCCGCTAAGTTTGAATAGCTATTTCTTCTCTGAGGTTTGTTTAATCAGCCCTGCAGACGACTAAATACAACAGTCCGGACGTCAAAGGCGAATTGAGATTATACATTTTCTATTTTAATAATATGACGTATCTTACCCATCTGTGTTTCCATTCATTCCTGCCTTTCTTGGAGTAACCTAACATTTAAATGGCTTCTCTGTGTATCAAGAGAAGTCTTTTTCTCCGGGTGTTTGAAATGCATCTGGGTCGCCATGTCTCAGCCTCTCTGTTTTGGGGTGTGAGAGTGTGTACATATGTATGTGCATATATCTTTGTATGCTTCACTCTTAGATTAAAGGAGAGCAAGCTGGTGAATATGCATATCCATGTGTGCGTATCGCTGATAAGAAACATGCAGCGGGATCTGGAAGGCAACCCTCATACAGTGCAGAGTACACATGTTCAGATGGGAACATGCAGGAATACAGGGATACCATAATTACATGCTTATTAGCATACATTGAAAGAAATTATGGTGAGCATGCTGGAAATTACATCACCAGGAGTTTATAATCTGTTTCACTGTAGATTTAGGATGTTCTAGTTTTAGTTGGATTACCCTAAAGCTACACCCGAACTTGCAATGTCTTTATATTGTTATCAATGTTTTCTGCTGAGATGAAATCTTCTCTTGCACTGTTTTCTGTTTTATTTGTTCTATGTCCTATATATATGTTTCAGTGTTGGAGGAGCCTGTGACCTACGTTTTTTATTGCCATATCTACACTGTAGCTAATGTGCAAATGACAATAAAGCCTTGAAACTGAAAAACCTGTCCGAATGCAGAGATGGAAGATGTGCTGTTACTTAAGTAAAGGTAGAAACACTATCGTTTATATTGCTGCACTTTCCAATAACTGCAACATCATGGTGACACCACAATGAGATGCCCCAGCTGCAGAGAGCAAAATAAGCTGATTATATAACCTAAATAAATAAATTAGGAAACGTCTAAATAACAGACACCGAGTCAGACAGTGAAAGATGTAACGTTATGTAATACCTGTGACTATAAATAAAGATACTGTATTGAATGACTGAAAGTATACCATTTGTAGTTTTGGGGAATCCAGCAATATGCAATGTGAAAGTCTTATCAGAAGTGTATACAGTATTGTTTGGATATGAAGTAAGTTCCTGCAGGAAGACTACCTTTAACCCTCCTATTGTCTTTGTCCCCCCCCCCTTACTTTGGTGTTCGCGGTCAAATTCGACCGGTCCTGTTTTAACTGCTATTATATTAACACAAAAACCATTAATCAGTACCAACTTTAATTTAACACCCTTTCAAACTGTACATATTGTATCAGACTACTGGTATACATGAAACACTGCAGTAAATATACAAAGAACAGACACTGAACATGTATTGCGTGTGCCAGGTGTGATTCATGCTGGGGGATGGGCACATAAGAGCGGGAAATGTGTCAAATTGGTGTGATGGGCACATAATGGGGGGAACACATCTAGAGTGTGCGTGTGTGTGTGTGTTTTATCTGATCCGGATGGTTACTAATTCCTTTTCTTTATGGCGGTCATTGTTGACCGGGAACACCATGGGTGTTACAAAGTTGACTAAATCATCCAAAATGCAATGAAAGTGGTGATCATCAGCAATATATGTTCAAATGTCTACTGTGAAGGATATCATAAAGCCTTAATGTAATCGAATGTAAAACAAAAAAGTTATGATGTAGTAAATCGGGAAGAATACTCACTCGCATGAGNAGGGCCCTCAAGTCCCATCTGTTTGCTAAGGCCTTTGGCCCCTAATCTATTTGTTGTTTTGTCTGTCTGACTGTTTGTTCCTACTCCTGTTCTTCTTTGTAAAGCGACCTTGGGTCTCATGAAAGGCGCTATATAAATCCAAGCTATTATAATTATTATGATATTGTAGAGTAAAAAGTTGAATAAAACATGTTCAAACATAGTAAATATATTTATTTAAAATTAAGTTATGTAAAAATGTATGTGTGAGAAAATCAACTGCTATTTATTATCCAAAATAAATCAAGCAACAAACATATAGGATATAAAATACAAAAAGCAATGAAATTAGAGAACATACTCTTAGAATTTGATTTTTAATTTATAAAGTGGTCTTCTCTTAAAAACAGGAGGGAACCCTATTTCACATAGGCTCAGTTGACCTATTTCACTTAGGCCAAGTGAAATAGGACACCTTTTCTCTACTTAAAATATGCTAGGAGACAAACATGTATAGGCTCCTTACCAGGCACGTGCACACAGACATCAAAGTGGGCTTGAGGCCCTGCCCTTTTTCTTCCTCCAGAGAAAGTGCCCTTTTTAAATGGGGTTCTTTTTTCCAATTTTTTTCTCCAATAAATGAATAGATATCTACTGCTGTTTGCGCACAGTTTCCCTTTCCAAAAATATATTGATTGAATACAAAATAAAAATATCAGGCCGGGAGATTAGACTGTGAAGTTCTGATGCTCTCTCTACCCTCCCTCCCTCCACGTCTCGCGCACAGCGGTGCGGACAGTCATCGGCCGTCACTTCAGACAGACGGGTAGCAGCACCTCCCACCTTAAAGTCCCATGCTATGCCATCTTTTCTTGGCTTGTTCGAAGATGAGTGGAGATGAACAAATGACTAAACTGCCAGTGCCGCGAGTTTACAGCTAATTAGCCAAAAACAAATAGTTAAAGTAGGGTACAGCTAATGGATAAGTTAGCTCAAGGTTTAGCTAAGGCAATTTACATGGGCATACAGGCTAATGTACTGTACTTAAGGGGAGACACTACAGGTGAATACAGTACAATGTGTATCTAATAAAGTCATCACAATCGCCACATTGATATGCAAAGTAGGCATTAACTAGGCCTAATGAAAATGCACAAATGTACATGCAGTTACCAAGGCATTGCAGGTGAAAAGGATAAAAAGCACCTCACAACTTCCCCAGATAGTTACTTACGTCAAGTCAGTATTTTCCCCGGAAATGTTGTGTTTAAATGCAGATTAGCTTTATATCTATAGATGAATTCAGACATAACATTCTTTTTGCCTGTAATGTCCTGCCTTAACCCTCCTATTGTCTTCGTTTTCCCGCCCTTACTATGGTGTTCGTGGTCAAATTTGACCGGTCCTATTTTAACTGATATTACATTAACACAAAAACCATTCATCATCACCAAATGTCATTTAAAACCTTTTCAAACTGTACATATTGTATCAGACTACTGGTATACATGAACAACTGCAGTAAATATACAAAGAATAGACACTGAACATGTATTGCGTGTGCCAGGTGTGATCCATGAGGGGGGATGGGCATAAGAGCGGGAAATGTGTCAAATTGTTCTGTGTGTGTTTGTGAGTGCCAGGTGATTCACATGGGGTGATTGGGCACATAAGCACACACACACATACTCTAGAACACATCTAGAGTATGTGTGTGTGTGTTTTATCTGATCCGGATGGTTACTAATTCCTTTATGGCGGTCATTTTTGACCGGGAACACCATGGGTGTTACAAAGTTGACTAAATCATCCAAAATTCAATGAAAGTGGTGGTCAACAATTGTATATGTTCAAATGTCTACTGTGAAGGATATCATAAAGCCTTAATGCAATCGAATGTACAACAAAAAAGTTATGATGATTTTTGTAGAATTCTGTTGAGTATTAAACAATTGCGTGAGTGTGAGGGTATTACAATTACATTGGTCAGTAAGTCAGAGATGTGCAACTATTTTTTGTTTTAAAACGTTTTTTTATAAATTATTATGGCAAGTGACCTTTTTCTCACTTGAGCTCCTGCCCCCAAAATGTCTGTGCACGTCCCTGCTCCTTACCGATTATGATGGCACAGGCGCTGACCAGGCCGATCTCTTTCTTCAGAGCCACCCCGGAACCCTCTGCATCTTTCGCGGCTCCCGGCTGTGTGTTTGCGGGCTCAGAGTGACTGTCCCCGCCGCCGCTGCTGCCCCGCTTCCTCGGACCCTCGGTCATCCTGTCTCCCTCTTCTGTGGGCGGCACCTAAAAGTAGAGGCCTATTTTTGAACACATGTTTTAAATAAGGTGAACAACGCTGCAATGCTTTTCCCGGACACATTTGATGAGTAATTGCTCAAGCACTTTCTCACGGGTAGCCTACATTATGCCATAAATGCTGATGTAAGTGCAGTTTCCATCTTTGGTTGGCTGCAGTTTTATCAAATTGAAAACCACTTAACCTCATTCACAATTCAAAGTGCGGCTCTGTCTGAAAGGTTTGTGACCACAAACACATTGAAATAACTCCAGTTTGTTAAGCAAAACGAGACACAGCGTCTACTTTAAACACAAATGTTATTAAGTTATAGGATCAAATTCGCCAATTTAAAATGTCTCACGAGAGGACCAACACGACTTTTCCCCTGAAAACCAAAAAGGCTGTGGGAATTAGCAATTAACACTGCAGCCCTGACCGCGTGCTCTCTGTTTTGCTGTAAAAACAGCTTACAAAGTGAGGACTCACCTTAGGCAGGTGACTTGTAAACCACCTGAAGGCAGCTCCCTGTTAACTGTAACTGACGGACTTCATGTCAGTGGCGTAGCCACCATAGGGCCCAGGGCCCGCCCAGTTTACTAATTGGCCCGCCCTGAGAAAGCTTCGGTGTAATATTTTCTTTTTTAAAAATTATTATTATACATTTTTGTATTCACCCATTGAGAATATCCAAGCATTCAAAGTGAAATTCATGTGAACAAATATCGAGTTGAATTAATGTTGTATGTGTTTTATCCTCTGAACGGAAAAACTGGTTGAGATGGTATGAAGATTTTCCCTGGGTGGAATACAGCGCAAGTAGGCATGCGCTTTACTGTAAAATGTGCAGACATTTCCCCAGCCCAGGAGCTGAAGGTGCGAGGGATGGATATGTAGACTGGAAGCACCTACGTAACTCGTTGAAGAGACATAAAAAAGCGAGGACAACTGCAAGTCCATGAGCAGGTTTGAATACTACAACCTATTGTTGCTGTTACCTAGTGCAATACAAGAGTAAATAACCCAATTTGTGTTCTGTGAAACTGAAAAGGATATTACATTGTTTTTCTTACTTTCGTTGCAGTTCTAAATATGTCTTAAATGTAATTTAGGTTAACTTCCTGTGTTATTTGGCTACTTTTATTTTGAAGGTGAGTTTACGCTGTTGACAGGAAGTTGTTGTTGCTATGGAAACAACGTGGCGGAGATTGATCTGCAAAGACGGAGAAAGTTTAAGTTTAGCACCCCCTGAAGAGGCACAAAGTTGGTATTAACTATAATGTAAAAGATGTAGGTTGTCTCCTAATTCTAATCCTAATATGCTGGTTTGTAGCTTTGCTGTCTGTTTACAGTTAACTTTTGGTAGTATGCTAAAGTGATTGTAATACGGATGGAGCCTAAAATGTATTTATTATTTTTGTGTCTTTATAGCTCTAACGTTGATATTGGAGATTTCAATAAATGAATATCATCAGTCAAGTCTTCGACCGTTATTCGGAGGGAAATGCCACAAAGAAGCTTGGCAATGGGCTAATGCCCATTGCCAAGCTTCTTTGTGGCATTTCCCTCCGAATAACGGTCGAAGACTTGACTGATGATATTCATTTATTGAAATCTCCAATATCAACGTTAGAGNTGTGTGCGACCGACGATGTACGTCGTTGTGTGCCTCCTCTACCGCCTTCCTTTCGCCAGACCGCGTCCACACCAATTTGAAATGGGCAGAGCTACACCTGTTACGAGCCAATGGGTTTTCACGTTATTCCTTAAATCGTACAATTCCCGCGTGCCGTAAACAGATTTGTAAATCGTTGTTCACGAGGTGTAGTCTGCCTCCTTACGTGGCCCAAGGTGCAGAAAGATCATCGAGACATCAGGGAGTAGAATGCTCAATTGCCAAAGGTGCATCCACAATACATACGATCGTAATTGTGTGCTCAATTGAGTACACATATGTTTGTACGCAAATTACTAATTCTCCATTGACTCTAATCAAACATTTCAAAGTCATGCTGTCGGTGCTAATAAAATTATACTAAACAATTTTGTGACACAAAGAAAACTACATTTATAATAATTATTTATTTTTCGTTCAATTAAAACAAGTTTTACACAATTCAGTAATTATTATATACATAAAAACTTAGTTCAAGTAGAAATAACAGAAGTAACAATCAAAGTGTACGGATTTTGTTGGAGTTCGTTGTTATTCAACTCCGATTTATTGCCGCCGAGCTGCAAACTCTTTAACACGTCCCGTATGTCCATTATCAGGCTTATCAGCTAATTAGACAGTAATTAGGCCTATCTAATTAGCTAATAGTTCAGCAGCAACCAACGTCGGGATTCAAAGAGATGTCGCGGACCCCCACCAATTTCGCACGGCACGGGCCGGGCAAAACCAACGCAAAGGTGATCCGCATCAAAGGCCGATTGCCCATGAAAAATGTCAAAAAAGACCAGAGAGGTTTTTAAGCCTGGCCCGACCTCAATACGTTTGACTCTCTCTATAGCGACCATTGATGTTGTTTCCGCCCCCTCGCACACAGACGGGGGAGAGAGAGATCTCGTCTAGATCTCGTCTGATAGAAATACATCATAGACGCATTTCTTTGTCTTTTTGCATATTAGAAACGAGTTGGCGACACTAAGACTGCGATATAATGCTTATGTAGCAATAATACATGACATATATTTTTTAAATGTCTCCAGTACCGATAAAAAGACCAATAACGTGGGAGCTTAGCGGCGTGTAAAACACACGTGATGACTTCACCAACGAATCGACGACTGAATTAGTTGGCAAGTAATTTGGTAATCGATTTTAATCGATTAAGTCGATTAGTTGTTGCACCCCTAGTGGAAATGCGCCATTAGTGTTCATTTCTATATGAGGAGAGTAAGATTACTAACCTGTGGTTCTATGCTTGGCGCCAGGGGCTGGACGACCTCATGGACAGGAAGTGACGTGGATGCTGGGGGACCTTTCTTGTTTTGGATAACCCAGCCAGGCGGTCTGGGCATCACGGCAGCAGTGGAGGCCGGGAACAGACCGTCCGTGTCTGTGTACAGTGCTGCGTGCCTCGCCTCCGCCTCGTTCTTCCCCACCACGAACCGGGGCAGCGGCAAGTCTTTGACTGAGGAGACAGGAATCCAAGCACAGGATTAGAGGAAAGATTACTTTCAAATTGATTTCCATGTGCTTTAATGCACTAAACTCAAGGACTGTGCCCACGCTCCGTTGCACTTAGATAGTCAGATATCATCAGTCTGAGATGCGTGGTGGATTTTAGCCCCGTCACAATAATGATATCAAGGAAGTATTGATAGACGTGTGGGTGGACATGACCTTGATCCTTTTTGCTGACCTGGATATGGCTGAGTGTTTTTCTTTTTTAATTTATATCAATAGCATAAAATGGTCTCAAACTCTCTGCAACTTTAATAAGTTTCACGTTGTACATCACGAATATTTTGTTACGAGGGAGTGGCCTCTGTGGTTTTTCATATCTAATGCTGAAATCATTTCAACAACTTTATGTTGCAATATTTAGGCCAAGCAAGTAAGTTCATGCAGCGGGTTACGATTACATCCCACATTGTGGTTGTTGTTTTTTTAGAGGATTCACCAAAGTCAAACAGAGAAGTTAACTTGTTAACCTAAAGCCTGAGGGCTAAGACTACAGACTCTTTTTAGTAAAGATAAATAGAAAGTTAGTAGAAACAGTTCTTACCATCCACCTGATATACAACACGAATATAGGGCTATTATCTGGAAATAGCTGGCATAAGATATATCTAATTATTTTTGATTACATTGTATTAAAACACACACACACACACACACACACACACACACACACACACACACACACACACACACACACACACACACACACACACACACACACTTTATCCAGCATACAATGAGTCCACTGAATGCACACTTTCAGCATTTAACACAGAATAACAAGCTTTACACTCTGGTAAAAAAACAAACTATATTCTGGCCATAATAGATACACAAAGAGCTTTGAGTCCACTGGTACTTTCTGTGATGGTACTGAGTGGATACTTGTTCTTTCCTGTGGGAGGGGAGGTTCTTTGTAAGATCAATGGTTCCAGTCAGCGCTGTACTCACCCGAGTTGAGGCTCTCGACCCTCAGGGGCAGACCGGACTGGGCGATGGCGATGAGCTTCAGGGCGATGTAGAACTGGCTCCGCCCGAAGTGACCCAGCCGAGTGGCTCCACAAAGCTCTGTGATCTAAACCCACACACACAGGGACGAAGAGGAACAGTTAACAACATTGTTTTCATATATAAAAAAAAGTTATATCAGACAAAATAGTATCTTATTATTATAAAGTGATGCTTAGCTAGCTATTTGTCACGCTGAATCTGATGTGAGACACCAGGACACAACACGTATGTCCACGCGATTGTATAAATGTATGTATGATAAACCAGATTATGTTGAAAAACCTCAAATTATTTGGAAATTCAAGCATATTCACAATCTTTAAAAACGTAGGGGTTAAAACCACCCTTTCAAATCCTTGTATGTACCCTGTAACGATGTGGTCCGTGGTCTTAACCAGTAACCATGTATTATTATGTATCTAAGTTCTACAAACACCGGTGGCTTTATTCAATGTTATTTACTTGCTTTAAGTCATGAAAACAGCACAATCAACAGTCTCTTTTCCTCAGCTCAGTGGCAGATGTTCAGCGGGTCTGACCATTAATAAGCCTGATTATCACATATCTTGCTTTACTTGGCGCCATGCTGAGCCGCTTAGTCCTGAATGTAAGACCGGGCAGCACAACAGCAACAACAATGCGTTTCGTATTTGTACAGAAGCATGTAAAAGACAATGCATTGTTGATCAGAGTGTAAATAAAGAGTGTGGAAGCATTATACCATGTGGATACCAGAATCCTGTGGATAATTAATACCAACAGAGTTGAACTTCACAACATTAAGAAGAGTCCTTCAGTGCTGTGAGCCACAACAGCCCGCCACAGCTGACTGATCCCTTTCTTGCTGACAAAGGACTTATTCTGAGTACGTCTGGACAAACAAAGCACCAGCGCCTTCTCTCCGCCTGTTACAACATGACACTGTAGCTGTATGTGTCTATTGGCCACAACAGAGGACGTTTTGAAAGTAGAGGATTACAACACTGCCTAATTCTTCCACCCTGCAGCTCCCCTTGTTGACCTTGAAAAGAATCTGACTCACAAAATGCAAATATTAGCCCGCTGAGTGGAAAACTAGTCAGGTGGTGATAGTCAAAAAGGTTTACAGGCATACGTGTATTATCAGATTAAACATTAGGATTATCAGAACAAGTGACTTTAAAAGCTAAATGAGCCTGTCAATTAAAAATGTAACTGATGAATTGGCCATTGAGTATATGCACATGGTCTCAGTAAAAGCTGGTGGAATGATACACCATTTCTAATTCATGATTTTTGAGACTGTGTGGGTTAGGTGCCAACGGTTATAAATCAAATTGACAGGAAGACACTGTGACATTGGGTCTGTATTTTCCTCAATGTCAGCTTAACCCAGTGGGGGAAAGAATGATGGATTTTAAAGGAGCGAGAAGACAGGAAGAAATAACAAGTCATCTGAAGACTTTTTCTCATTTTTACCAGCGTACAATGACGCACTGAAAAGATACATTTATTTTACACCCTTTTTTTACATTAAGCCCAATTACACAGTAAGGTTACACAGACCGAAGTCTTCTATTCTGCCTCTACCTTCCTGACCCATGACCTCCTCAAATTAAGATAAAATGTCTGCAATAAACACAAGATTTTGAGCCCACTTTATACATTAAAAAAGCTCCAATCCAGTGGCTCATTATATAAACGTGGTATGTTTAAATGATATTTTTACATTTCACATTATGTATGTATTACTACAATAGGCAGAATTGTATTATTTTACAGTATTTAATATGACATTCTGTTTTTATCTTATCTTATTCTATTTTACATGTATAGTCTACTTCTCTTGCATTGTTAGGACATTGGTCACTTGCAATATTTTATTTCTATTCTTTTTCTTCTTGCACTATTTGTATTGTTTAATGTTTACATATGTTTATGTTGCTTTGTTGAGAGACTGGGACTTGTTTTCATTGCCATAACCACACTGTAGCTACTGTGCATATGATAATAAAGCCTTTAAATCTTGAATTTGGATTGATGGTACTGAGCAGTAGGTCTGAAGCAAAGGGCTGATGAGAACATATTTGCTACAACGTTATGTATGGGCACTGTTCAACACACAATCACGAAAATATACTTAAAGAGAAGACATACACGTCTGTTTTCTAAATAGGATGTCAATTTGAACCCAGATGTTCAGCTAAGGGTAACTATGTGATTTGGCTTCCGACTCTCTTCGGCTACAGCTAGCATTAGCCAGAAGAAGGTGTGTCTGCTCTGCTGCGCAGCATTGCTAACCACCAGGGCTAACCTCACTTTAACTGGATGACAGGTCAGCTCTGACAGCCAAGCAAGTTGGTAAAAATAATATCCATATAACAGTTCGTGGCCAGCACCATCACAGTCTGGGGATAATGACACTCGCTAACGCTAGCTTACCTGCAGGACAACTTCGCTGGGTAGCTGGGCCGCCCGGAAAAGGTCAAGAACTCTCCCATTGGAAGCCACTTTTTTGGTATTGTCCGTGTCGCAGTAAATGAACAAATCCGAGTAATATTTCTGCTCGTAATCAGTCAGCGTTAAGCTTTCCATCGTAGTACCAATCGACCCTGAAAACCGGGCTACTCGGCTGTTGATTAGCCCTTAGCCAATAGCTGGGGCAGGACCAAAAAAAAATGGGCGAGACTTCAAACTTAGCTAGCCTTCCAGTACTAGCTAGGTTAGCAGGAATAATGTTCTCAACGCGCTGTTGTCGTCTGAGCCCACTCTCTGTAAAAGCCCCCAATACTATCTGTTCACAATGACAGCTACTCACCACTCAAATACTAAAATGAGGAATGTTTCCATACAGTTATTGACTTAGTTAACTTGTTGGGCCAGCCAAGAAAAGTAGCCAACAGCTGGCTAGCAGCACTGCGAGCTAACCGCTACCTTGAATCAAAGTCAGTGGCAGTTAACGTTAAGCTAACTAGCGTCCACCTTCTCAAAGCTGGACAACTAACCGCGTTTATCTCACGTTATAGCGCTTCGTTCTCCCTTTAGTCCGTCATGGGATGGTGTTTCTGCGTTTCGCTGGAAACAAATTCCTCAGCGGGGCCGTTAGAAGTAAAGTTTCATGGATTCTTTGGGCTCCTTCCTCTAGTAATCTTAGCCGCCATTCCTGCCACCAGTGTAAAGCCACTCACAGTTGAATTGAAACTTCCGGAAGGATTGTTTCAAATTAAAACAACCCTTGAACATCTCAGAATCAGTTTATTGGCAACGTTTGTGAACATATATATTGTATCATACACACTATGGTCAGTGGTGGAACAAGTATTCAGATACTTGGGTAAAAGTACAAATAGAATATTGTCAAAATATGTAATCACAAGTAAAAGCCCTCCATTCAAAATCTCCCTTTTTTATTTGCATTGCATTTAAACAGTGATCTAGATATGGACTGCCTGCTTTAACCACTGAGTTTAACAGTTTGGAGATTATTTGAAATTACTGGATCATTAGGCTGGCCAGGACACAAAATCTCTGAAAACATGAAAACTCAAAATGATAAGAAAGGAAATGAAAAAAAGGTTTTTAGGGCGTCTCCTTAAGACCAAACAAAATCTGTCTCGGTCTCTGTCTGCCCACCCGTACACCTGCCCTGCCTGCCTTTTTTGGTACCAACCGAGAGTTACAGTTTTCACATTATCACATCACACCATCTTGCTTTCCATATCTCATCATCTCTCACACTTTGCCATGCTGAGTCTTGAACCACCAACCTTCTGACTCATAGACATCCATTTAGGTTAAGGTTGTACAGCAAATCAAATCCAATCAAATAATTAAACAAATGTTCAGCTTTTATTATGAATCATATAAAACGATATACGTGAAGATGTAAGGTCATTTAACTCCAACACACAGGAGAATGTCTGCTGTCATTAAATAGCAAAAAAAAAAAAGCCCTCCAAAATACACCAGTGTGAGCTTTTGTTGTGAAAATAAGTTCCTTCAACTTCCGTTTTTCTCTCGGGTTTTTTTTACAGCTAGCTTGATGTGTCGTGACGTCACTGGGCTACGTTCCGAATCAGCGCGAGCTTGCTTGGCCTTCAGGGACCCGGATAATCGACTATGTTGGTAATTAATAGGGAAAGATGTGTTATATGTAAATATCATTCAGTTAATAAATAGGGGCGAACACTAATGATTATAGTATGTAAGTAAGAATTTAAAATGCAGTAATAATAGTAGGAGAATACATCATATTATAATAAAACAAGCACAAAATGTTGTCACAATAAAAGCTTTATGCATGACATGTTGTTAGTAAACTAAATAATACATGCTTACCCAATGACTAAAGAAGAGTGGTAATTGGGTATGTGTTGTAGTTTTTCCATTTGTTTTACATGCCCATAGCACCCAGTCATTATTACCATAAACAAAAATACAACAACATAACCCATGAGGCTAAAATAAGCTTCTGGTGTCCATTTAACCATATCAGGTGGAAGGAAGAGGACAGGAAGACGGGATGACATAAGAAAATGAAAGGATGGAAAGGAAGAGATGTATGAGAAGAGGTTTGACACAGGAAAGAGAATCAGAGTCATGCCAATGAGCTATTATGGGCCGAGCACTTTCTTATATTATCTACATACATATGCATCAGTACCAAAATCTGTCTGCAGTGATTGAAAGGTCACTTGTGATGCTGGAAATGTTCTGTGTAAAGGAAATGTCTCTGGTGTGCTTGTTTAAATGTAATGCCACTGCTCCAAAGGCTTGATAAAAAAAATGATATTTTTGTTTTTGTATTTGGGTGTAGTCATTTCTGGAGGATTAGAAAAGGTAACTTTTTGTTTGTAGAGACAGGCATCTCTCTCCCATGCCATATAAGGAGCCCCTGAAAGCTGTGTCACGATTAAGTCAGATGAGCTTTAATGGTGCCTTTAAGGGTTATGGGAAATCTGAATATCTGTTGAAAGACCCCGTGACCCACATCTTTTTATGCATTTTAATATTTTACAGCTGCCCCCTTAAGCAAAAGGTCACATTGTTTTACATTTTCTGAAGCTCCCAGTCACATAGTATGACCTTTATTAGTGATTGTTTGCACACTGAGCCATTAGGTATTGGTAAAAAGCCCTTTTAATACTGTTTAATATTCGAATAGGATTATTTATATGTATAGAACAGTGTGTTAGGAATAGTGTGAACATGTGTTTTTTCTTTGACTATTTATTATTAAAACCTCCATAATTCTTGGTCCCAATATACATTTTTTTTATTCAGTATTTTACTTATTTTTCACAATTAATTTACAGTAATTCATCTGTTTACTTTTTTAAACCTTCGCTCTGTTACAAAAAATAACGATGTCGAAATGAATGACAAGGAGAAATCAATCAGTGCACCAAGACAAAGAATATCATTTCCGAGCAGACACTGAACGCATCAGCATCATTCACCAGGAGCAGATTCATCAGAAAGTCGGTCATCTTCTTATCAGGATCCAGAACCATAAAACAAAAGGTATATATGTTAATGTTACATACAAACTGGTTTTATGTTGACTTTTATTACATTATTCCTTCACCACATATAATATCCGTTTATCAGCGGATCATTTGTTGAACGTAAGAAGCTACAATACCGGGGCAAGCTCGTATCCGGTGCTCATTCAAAGTCTTTCTGTTGTACCTGAAGCAATGTAAGACACATTTAGACTGTAAATATAAACCCGAACTAAAGAATGACTGCACATGTTTGAAATGCATGAATTACAATGAGGATTTGTGCTCAGTGATGGCTAGCTCTGAATGCTAATGGTACCATTTCCGCATTGATCACAGTACGCCCTGTTCTTGTTGCAGCATGCTCCATTCATCTCAATACTGCACTATTTATGTATACATTTATTAAATCCTTCATTTTATAAATCTAGAATTAAATGCATCGATTATGCTTTTGTTAGTGTGTATTTTTGATGAATGAAAAAGGCATTTTAGTTTCGTTTTTAATGGCCGATTATTGTAAGAAGATAACCTTTGTCCCAGACCCCGTTCACCAATCTGGCAAAATTGCAACTATCTCCCTAATAATCACATTTATTGATGTGAGAAATTATAATTTATATTCTTTTCTTAATAACTATCCGCCGTTTGAGAATTCGGTATAAAAGCAAATACCAAAAAAAAACGTAATTTTGATTCAAACATGTTTTAATCCCATTCACTATTCTGGTAAAAAAAAAAATTGCAACTGTGTCAATAATCAAATGTATTTATGTGAGAAATTATAATTTTATATTTTCTTCTGAATTAGTATCCCCCTTTTGAGAATTTGGCAAAGAAAGACATTTCTTGAAGTGACTATATCACATTATATTTGGTCCAACCTTTCGATATCAGTAAGGATTGTTAAAACAAATGGTAACTCAATTACACGCTAATTCATGTATTAATCATTTACGAAAATGAGGGATCCTATATTTAAGAATACATTTACTTTTTAGCAACAGGACATTAAAATGACACCATTTTAGTTGTCTCCCCCCTGCAAGAAAGTAGCATGACCAATTGCTCGTCTCCTCCCACACTGTGTACACGCTCTAAAACACTTTTGTTAAGCTAAGAAGTCTATTTGTGGTAGTTAATTCGATTTTCTTTATCCCTTCTAGCAACAATGAATGTCGACCATGAAGTCAAGCGGCTGGTGGAGGAGATTCAGCGACTTGGCAGTAAAAGTAAGTCAGTGCTATATTCTGTACGCCTATTAGAGGTTCATTGTGATGTGTTTCATTTTACCATGTTTAATTAACCATGTTCATGCTATAAATTCTAATGAACCATAAACATGCAATCATGTGATGTTGATCAGTAATCGACCTTAGTCCCCAGCTTACTGCCCTGAAACAAATAAACCAGTGTCTGGTTACAAAGCCTTCCGTCTTCACTTGTATTGAGTCTCAAGAAATCTCTTAAAGAGGCCCTTTTATGCTAATGTTTTGGTTCGTATTCTGTGCCCCTACTGTGACATGTCTCCATGTTTTAATGTTCAAAAAGCTCTTTATTTTTCTCATACTGCTAGCGGTTGCATCCAAAAAATCCAATATTTTTCAAGCCAATTATTAAGGAGTTGTTGGCTGACAATTAATGTAATTGGTTTACCCTGTTATTAACTATTGTGGCCCTTTTTGGCTTAAAGATGTTGACAGCAATTTGCTGAATAAAAAAAAAAAGGTGGAGTATTGCATTGGGTGACTGCACTTTTAATTCCCATTTATTTGTTGTGACTACTTCAAGGCTAACTTGGGGGAAATCCTTGAAAAACAGTCTTGACAATTTTAAGACTTTTCAAAGTATGCATTTTTTTTTATAAATGTTTACATGGACCTGCCCCCCCCCCCCCCCCTCCCCCCACCTCCACTTAGGGGAATTCATCCACAAAAAACACACTGGACGCTGCACTAGGTCAGAAACCAGAAGAGACTGTGAAGTCCACCGTAGGCGAACCACTTTCAGACAAAATGTCCTCTCCATTAAAGGCAGCTCTTTGTGGAACAGCCTCCCAAACTGAGATACGGGATTGTCCCACTCTCAATAGTTTTATAGGTCAACTCAAAGAATGGTTGAGCAACAAACAGACGTGCAATCACCGCTAAATGCTCTTTATAATAAAGGGGTATCTCCTTGTATATGAGGGACTACGGATGGAAATTAGCTCAAAGCTCAAATCCGGCATATTTACATTTGAAGCATTAATTGTTAAAAATGTTAATCAATGTGCATTGTCCTTTCAAAAATAATGATTAAATGAAAATGAAATGAAATAACAACACCTGAAAGCTCAGAGCATTATTACTCTTTTTTTCTTCTTTTTATTTATTCCACAAATATATAACATACATGTACATAAAAATCACACCCGCCTCAGTTTACAGTCCACTGAAATCTACACGTTATTGCTCACATACACATACACACACATACACACATACACACACACACATACATACATACATACATACATACATACATACATACATACATACATACATACATACATACATACATACATACATACATACATACATACATACATACATACATTACCCCTTTCCTTCCAAGTCTTGGCAAATTATACATAAATACAGACATTTGTTTGCATTATTACTTTTAAGATGTATATCAATCTGCCTCTTATTTCAGATGCCGACGGTCAAACCAGCGTGACGTTCGGGGTCTTATTCAACGACGAGCAGTGTGCCAACATCTTCGAGGCGTTGGTGGGCACCCTGAAGGCGGCCAAGAAGAGGAAGGTGGTCAAATACGACAGCGAGTTGCTGCTGCAGGGCGTACATGATAGCGTCAGTATCACTCTTCTGCAGGAATAAGGCCTAATGTTTGTACCACATGGCCTTCAAGCAACTTCCTGAATCCCCTCAAATACTGAGCTTCTGTAGCGGCTTGTTTTCTTCCTTCACGTGCAATGCTCAGTATTTCAATTTAAACAAAACAGATTAACTCAAACTGTACACTTATGGACCCAGCTGGAATAACTGCGTATGATTTCATTTGATTTCACTGTGCCAAAACGCTATTAAACAAGTTATTGGATAATCTTTTGGGTTATCAGGGGCTAACGTTTATATTTTCAGATGGTGTTTCTCTCCTTCTCAGGCCCTGCTGTTTTATCAACCAAGGGTCTGAGATGTCCTTTTGATACACTTTTAAGACTATAAACACACAAATCAGGATTGTACTCATTTGTGTAACGCCTTCATTCAGGTTTTTTTTTGTTAATCTTTAGGGGAATTACTCTAAAATGTAACTTTTACAGCCAAATGCGTCTTTTGAAGGTATCAGTGTCAGGATAATAGACTGGAGACATTTAGCAACTCCAACAAAATTCTTCTTCACATCTTTAATTGGAGCACTCTGATCTTTACACGTTGTTTGTAAAAGATACTACTTTTAAAAGCTGTACTAGGTCAATTGTTCCTTTATCAGCGAGAATGTCTTCTCACCTTGAATCTAGTACAGCTGTAAGACCACAGGTAGTGTGCGTCCACCAAAAGTGTCCCCAAGTGGCGATTCCATTTGTTTGCGTAAGACATTTCTACTACCTCTTGTGGACTTTGTAAAAAGACATTATTACACCAGTGCTTTTGGGAGATAGAAACTACTAAGACAAGTGCATTTCAAGACTTTTGCACCATTTTGTACTTGTTGCAATCTGCTAGACTAGTTTTTATTCCATCTTTTTACTTGTGATCTATAATGAATTTTCTCTGCTAAACAGATTCCAAATCTTGCCTTTCCTAAGAAACAGTCGATGAGCAGACGGCGGGTGTTTTTCTCATGCAGTTTATGTTTTTGTGTAATAATGACAGGGTTATTGGTGCGAGATGCAAAAGATTAATTCTCAGTGTTTCTCAGGACCAAATGGACGCAACCAAATGATGTTTGATAATTGTCCTGTAGCTAGGTGTCTTACTTGTTACACAAGATGTGCATTTATAGTTTTATTAGTTTTTTTATTTTGCCACCCATTATTCTGTACTGTAGGGAAATGAAACTTGCAGATCAGGCATGATGACCTTTTTTGGAACAGATACGGTAGCCCAATGTGGTCCAAATTGAAACAATAAATAAGATATTATGAAATAGGTAATTGTATGAATAAGTATAGACTAACATGTGGTGATAACCTGAAATTGTAAAATAATCTGATACACTTTTTAACTCAATCAATTTGATGAAATTCTGTCACATTCTGCTTTTTTTCAAGATAACATGACAGGTCATTTTAATTTTTATTCAAGCTGCTTTTATTTTAAAATGTCCTTTTCATAAAGTGTATTTTAACTTAAAAAATGAAAGGACCCAAAAGGGTCAGCGGTCATTTTGAAATAAAACGGTGTGGGAAATCTTTTCAAATCAAACACAACCTGTAACTATTTTATTTTGGAAAGAAGCAGAGCCAATCAGCATTTCATAAACTGAGTTTAAAATATCTATTGAGTTAGTTAACAATTTCATGGTTCAATATGTCATATCATGTCTATATTATTTAATCTAATTGATGTCATAATATCTTGTTTATTTGTTTCACTTTGAACACCGGTAAGTGGCTGCAGCTGCTCTCGTGGAAAAAATCTAGAAACGCCAATAATCTCCACACATTCAGCTTCTTCTCCTGCATAATATCAAGCGTTACATATCCCATAAAGAGAGACCACGCCTTATCTGCAAGTTTTAAAAGACCCATTTCACACTCACTGCTGTTCTGTCAACCTAAATCCTTACGCTGTTTGATTTCAGCTTCACTTGAATTATGTTATTACTTATCTCTGAACCGTATGGGATGTTGTGCTCTTAACAGCGTTGGTGGCAAAGAAAGGAAACCCAGAAGAGCTTATTCAAATTATGACATTTGCTGAAATGTAGCCAGTAGGGCAAAATGTAATCATCAGTAAAACAACACAAATGGTTGAGTAGAAGTCTGTAATGTTTTGGGATAAATGGAGGAGAAGCAAGAGTAAGGAGGAAACAAACTGTGAGTGAGCTGAACATAATTGCAATTTACAGCACAATTAACCTTTAGCAAGAGGAGAGAGTTGTGATCAGAGCGGTGCCGATACCTCAAGCCATTCCTGTGAACCAATGGGATGTCTGCATGATGTGTTTATGTGCGTCATTACTGTCTGCTTGTATTGGCAATAACACATTCCTAAACGTACCAAGGTTTCTGTTACTGTGGAATACCCTGCAACGAATAAAATCTTTACACTTGAAACCTTGAACCTGCTTTGTGTGTGATTTTTCTGACCACTCTAATTCTTGAAACACATCTCAACAACACTGAAATTATTATGTTTATTTATATTATAATGTTCCACTCAGACTGGACAAGCTACTTTATTGCATGTGTAGATGTCTTATACTACTTCTCTGATGGCTCCCACAGGATTGTTGACATCCTCCTATTGATCTTCTTATTATAGACATATGCATTTCCAAACATTTGGTCTACCTATGTTGTAAAATGTATTATCTTTTCGATTTACACACGGCATCTATTGCACGTCTGTCCGTCCTGGGAGAGGGATCCCTCCTCTGTTGCTCTCCCTGAGGTTTCTCCCATGTTCCCCTTTAAACTGTGGGGTTTCTCTGGAAGTGTTTCCTTGTACGATGTGAGGGTCTAAGGACAGAGGGTCTCGTATTGTCATACGGATATTCTGTACAAACTGTGAAGACCACTGAGACAAACGTAACATTTGTGATATTGGGCTGTATAAATAAACATTGATTGATTGAGAGGCCATGAAAATGCATGTTTTATTTTTACTGTCAAATAAGCGTCAAAAATTCTAGTTTAGTTTGTTCAGTCGTCAATGTACATTATCTATACTCGTCTGCTTTTGAATCACACTTGATGCAACTGGTTTTCCCCGTTATTTTACGAGCAACTATGGTGTGTTTTGCTGCAGGACTATTATGGTAAAGACAGGCATAGAATTTGAAATAGTACAGCTTGTTGCATTTGAAATGAGCAGAATAGTCAAGGAGTTGCTGCTGTTTTTTAAATTGATCAACAACCTTGAAAATTATCCGAAAAGCAGGACATTTTTAAAATGCAAGATTTATGAATGGAGTTTGACGCCCCACTTCCCTCCAAGAGAATATATTGTTTTGTCTTCTTTAAATATTGAAAATATTTGGAAACTTTCAAATACCAATGCTTGTTATACGTGTACTTTGATGTATGCTGACATGTGTGCTGTCATATCTGCTTAATTAGACAGTGATGCCTGCCCACAGGTATGTGACATGTATTACTTCAACTTCTTATGTCTGGAGGCTCAGTCTGCTGATGCATTCAGGTACTGCAGGGATATCTGAAATATTGTACTATGAACTATGCATCGTGATCAGTGATGAAAAATATATTGCGGTAACATTTTTGAGGTACTTAAGTATGTGCAAGTTACAGAACACATGACTTCTACAGTCTATGAAACATTTGTAATAACCCCAGTTCACAACAGGAAAATGCTACTTACACATTTTAACACTACAATATGTTTAATAATACAACGCTTACAAAGGCCTTTCTTATGCATAAGGAGCACAACTCTAATATGTATGCATAACTTTCCATTTTGACCCATTAAGTATGTTATTTGTGTTGTAATTTAAGTAAATAAATACATTTAATAAAGTTATGTTCTTCAGTACAATTTGGAGGTAGCCTACTTGTGCTTTACTGGACGTATGTAGTTAAATTACACTACATTTATTATTTATAATACTTAGTTATGCTAAATATATGTGTTGTTATATTATATTAATATTACTATACCTTTATCAAATGCAATATTACACTCCACTAAATTATAATGTTCTTTGTTAATATCCTGTACTGTTTTATTAGATTGTGTACTCCTATAAAGGCTTATTTTATTTTATTCCTTTCATCATTCTTTTTGGATATATAAGCAAAATAAAAAACGTAATAGTGTTAATTATGTTCACATCAAGTGTTTCGAAGCTTTAAAGTCCGACTTGTCCCACAGTACATGAACGCAGCATCAGCGGTTGAAGGGGGCGGGGTCGTGTGACGTCAGGGGGTGGAAGAAAACAGCAGAGCAGGAATCAAAACAAGAGACGGACACGCCTTCGCTCCTAAAAGGTAACAGCAGCCAATTCTTTAAAACTACTGCACAATACCTGCACTTGACGCAGCCTGTCGTGCAAGAAGACTCCAAAAAAACAACACAAAGAAGAAAAAACCTGCAACAACAATAACAAAAACAACAATAACAACAACAACAAAAGCACCACGGCTGCAGAAATGGAGTCCACAGAAATGTCAGACAGCGTTGACAGCAGCAGCCGTTGATAAAAGAGGTCGAGGAATATCACTGACGTCCGAATCCGCGTACAATGCCCAACCAGAAGAACAACAAGGGGAAGAAAAGCAAACGCACCAACAGCAGCGGAGATGAGCAGGAAAATGGAGCCTGTGCGGCCGCAACAGGAGGCGCGGCCGCGGCGGCTGCTGCTACACCCAGACACGACCGCTCCAGTGGTGAGAGGAAACACACACACACACACACACACACACACACACACACACACACACACACACACACACACACACACACACACACACACACACACACACACATGTAGAAGTTTAGTGATGCTGCCTTCCTGTCTGTGCGACTGTGACATGCATGCACTGCGACGTTTGCAAAGGGCTCATGCATACACCCCTCCACTCCACCTCTTCCCAACTTATATTTAAACGGGTGTCAGTTTAATGGGGGTTTGATTGTGTGCACATAATGCTCGATCACGACTTGAGGCCTTGTATGAAGGAGTGGATTTTGTTCCGTCGTTGTTGTGCATGTTAACCTGCACGTAGCTAGTTCTCCACTGCATTGAAATGGTGGTTTGTGTGAGTTGTTAAACACTGACTTGAAGGGCAAGTGCTGTTTGTTTTGGTGCAGGAGATTAAGGGAACAGCAGGCAAACAAGTAGAAATATTCCTGAGACAGGTGTTGCATGTAAGCAGCATTGAAAAGCGCTTTTTGTATATTCAAAATCAATCTTTACTGTTGTTTCATCACATTTCAGTAGAGCCCGATTAGCTAGAAATCTGTAATGTGTCAAAGTGTGTAATGGAAATCGGTGCCCCAGCTCCGTATGGAAAACAGATTATCACCTATGAAAATAGCACCACTTGTTATCAAATGCACCTTCAGCGGGTCAATGCGCGGTTCTTTCAAAGTCAGTCCACTTTAATAATCGCTGTCATTTCACATTGGTTGTGTAGGTTGCTATGCAGGCCTCAGCTGTGTTTTCCTGGAGCGCACCCACACACAGTTTTTGGTTGAGACCATAGAGGTTGGGATCAGGAGTAATACTGACAGCTCGACACTGGTCTGCGCACTCAAGTGCAACTTCAACCCATATAGTAAACAATACCTAGAAAAAAAGTCTACCTGCACTTAAAAAAACAGTACAAATGTGTTTAAAACAAACATATTTATTACAAAAAACTAGGACATTAATAGGTTATTGTCCTTTATATATAAGTACTGTAAAACCTTTTGAGTAACTTTATTACATGTTTTACAACTTGTTATACCTACATTGCTTTAGAAAGGTATACATGCACTTAACTTGTATGCATATGTGTTAACATGAGTGTATTTTTAGTCATTATATATAATATGCTATAGCTTAAAAATGTGTCTCATAATCACAACAGCAAACTATATTTGATGATTTATCATTTAAATACTATTTTAAAGGTCCCATGACATGACCATTTCTACTGATCATAATTCCATTGTTGAGGTCTACTAGAATAGATTTACATTGTTCAATGTTCCAAACTCACATTGGTTTCTCATACAGCATCTCTGTGTAGTCACTCTCTGTCCTAAACGGCTTGATGGAGCTTGAACTCTTTTCTGTGTTAGAGTTTTACTCGCTACAGGGTGTACTTTGAGGGTTTGTCAGTCTGCAGACCGTTTACATGCATACAAAGCTTCATAACACAAAAGGGGACGGGTAATAACCGGAAAAGCATGACATGGGACCTTTTAAAGCAGACAGGCTTAACATGAGAGCGATTTTTGTTTTCAAATATTTGGATTCACTTCTCATTTTTGCACTTTTTAATTTAAAACTTAAATACCTTTACTGAAGTTGACAAAAACAAGCAATTTTAATGACATCTTGCATTTTTCTCTATTTTCCTATTGTATTGACCTTTCATTAATGGATTTACCAAGAAAACAATCAGTAGCTGCGACCCAAAATTGATTTTTTTTTCTTTCTCTTTATGGAGCTATTGTTTAATCCTGGGTTTAGTGTGTCCAAGCAATATTCATTTAAAGATTCATTCAAGCTTAACTTTATCAGTTGTATCCACTAAAATGATGCACAGGGTAACAATGCATTGGTAGATAGATTATATCGCCACTGTGGTGAACTTAAAGTGGACCTATCATGCTATATTTGAATAATATAGTGTAGGACCATACCTATATAAGGCATATTTATACTTTTCATTTTTCAAAATACCAAACAGATCATGCATTTTAGCCATTCCTCATTTCGCTCAATTTAACACTGTCTTTCATGCTCGGATTCAGTGAGAACAGCTCCATGTGGTGGCCTGGCATATGTACTACAGCGTCTCCAGCGCTTTGGAACGCCAATGTCCGTGGCTGTCTCCTCCTGATTGGTGGAGTTGGCCCAATAGCACTAGCGCAACTTCTGTGACGACATAAAAGTGTTCAAATCTGGATCAGTCTGTATCAGATCCGTTTTTTAGAGATTTGGGTATGGAGGAAAATAGAGAGGGTTGTGTTTTCTGACACTTGGTGAGTTCCCTGGAACACCGGGGACACAACCAAAGAGGTCCCTCTTAAGGGACATTAGTGCATTAACATCCCAAGCGAAACCTATTTTCGCAGTCGATTTACCTTTACATTACATTACATTTTATCTTCGACCTTCCTTGTAAAACCTCTACAAAAACCAAAACAGGACCTCACTTGATAATTCGTCAAGAGGGAGGTGGTACCCTACGTATAGTTGTTTTTGTTGTACTCCACCTCTTACAGAATTCTCTCTCTGAAAGTCACAGGAAGAAACGACGGAAGTAGCGGTAGGCTAAAATAACTTTAAGTTGATCCCGGTCCGGTTTCGACACTCGCCGAGATAAAGGTTTTCGAGACGGTTGACAGTTCAGACCTACACTTAGTTCATTACACCCGTGTGTGAGAGACGTTCCTTCATCGAGGGTGACACCCTCACACACAAACCCACACACAACCTCTATTCAAAGGAAAAGGCAATATGGTTCAGTTACATGCGGCTCCCAACGCAAGAAGAGGGAAAAATTTCCACTGGAATAAGTACGTTTTACTTTAAAAGATGCAGAAAATANCTAGGCCACTCCAGGACCTTGAAATGCTTCTTACGAAGCCACTCCTTCGTTGCCCGGGCGGTGTGTTTGGGATCATTGTCATGCTGAAAGACCCAGCCACGTTTCATCTTCAATGCCCTTGCTGATGGAAGGAGGTTGTCACTCAAAATCTCACGATACATGGCCCAATTCATTCTTTCCTTTACACGGATCAGTCGTCCTGGTCCCTTTGCAGAAGAACAGCCCCAAAGCATGATGTTTCCACCCCCATGTTTCACAGTAGGTATGCTGTTCTTTGGATGCAACTCAGCATTCTTTCTCTTCCAAACACGTCTAGTTGAGTTTTTACCAAAAAGTTCTATTTTGGTTTCATCTGACCATATGACATTCTCCCAATCCTCTTCTGGATCATCTAAATGTTCTCTAGCAAACTCCAGACGGGCCTGGACATGCACTGGCTTAAGCAGGGCGACATGTCTGGCACTGCAGGATTTGAGTCCCTGGCGGCGTAGTGTGTTACTGATGGTAGCCTTTGTTACTTTGGTCCCAGCTCTCTGCAGGTCATTGACGAGGTCCCCCTGTGTGGTTCTGGGATTTTTGCTCACCGTTCTTGTGATCATTTTGACCCCACGGGGTGAGATCTTGCGTGGAGCCCCAAATCGAGGGAGATTATCAGTGGTCTTGTATGTCTTCCATTTTCTAATAATTGCTCCCACAGTTGATTTCTTCACACCAAGCTGCTTACCTATTGCAGATTCAGTCTTCCCAGCCTGGTGCAGGTCTACAATTTTGTTTCTGGTGTCCTTTGACAGCTCTTTGGTCTTGGCCATAGTGGAGTTTGGAGTGTGACTGTTTGAGGTTGTGGACAGGTATCTTTTATACTGATAACGAGTTCAAACAGGTGCCATTAATACAGTTAACAAGTGGAGGACAGAGGAGGCTCTTAAAGAAGAAGTTACAGGTCTGTGAGAGCCAGAAATCTTGTTTGTTTGTAGGTGACCAAATACTTATTTTCCACCATAATTTGCAAATAAATTCTTTAAAAATCAGACAATGTGATTTTCTGGATTTTTTTTTTTTTCTCATTTTGTCTCTCATAGTTGAGGTATACCTAGGATGAACGTTACAGGCCTCATCTTTTTAAGTGGGAGAACTTGCACAATTGGTGGCTGACTAAATACTTTTTTGCCCCACTGTACATAGCATTTAACTACAGACTACTGATAATACATCAACTAATTACACAGAAAAGTGGGTCTGTGGTTACAAAGAAATCACAGAAACATCTTGAGATTGTGAAAAGGACAATGGATTGATTCTGACAGGCTGTGTTAATCATTGCTGTCGTCATCACCCTCTTTTATCAAATGAAAAGGCGCCATCGGGCATTACAAACATAAGATATCTTACTAACTAAAGTGTTGACTTAAACATATATCAATGTTTTCTCTGCCTGCACTGCTAGACCTTAACTCTTGTGTGACATTGTTTAGGCAAAGTTGAAAAGCAGCCCCTGTACCCAGTGTCGGATTTAAAACAGACGTCATGCTGATCTTTGGTTTCTTGAGTAATGTTATTACATTGTCAAATATGAGATGATTAAGGGGAACTAACGATAGGCTTTCTGACTGTCCTACTTTTCCAAATTCCTTGAAGAACAGGACTTTTTTGGAAGAGTAACATTACCATTTTTTGACATGTCACATGTAATCAACAGTCATGGGATTTTTTCAGTTTCAAGTGTAAACAGCCCAAACTATGGCCAGAAAAATGCATACAGTACACATAGGACATGGTTTATTCTGAATTTTAATATATATCCATGTATCAAATCAAATCAAGTTTTATTTATATAGCACATTTTTAAAACGATTTTTGGTCGAGCCAAAGTGCTGTACATACAGTAAAAAATACTTTTACAATAAGGACACTTTACAACAAATACAACAGCACAGCTTGTGCAGAATATCAGTATGAGAAAAACGACACCCTCTGTCCTTAGACCCTCACATCGTACAAGGAAAAACTTCCAGAGAAAAAACCCACAGTTTAAAGGGGAACATGGGAGAAACCTCATGTCTATTAAACCAGTGCTGTTATCTCAAATGTTTCTGTAAATGTCCCATTTGTTCCCCATAGGAAAGCACAACGATACGAACGGTGGCCTCAGGAGCAACAGCCAATGAGATGCAGCGACAGACGAGCGGCTACGATGATCCGTGGAAGATCACGGACGAGCAGAGACAGTATTATATAAACCAGTTTAAAACCATCCAGCCAGATCTAAACGGCTTTATACCTGGTAGGATTATGCAGATTAAACACAACAAAGCTAACGTTTAAGGATAACTGTTTAACCATCAGTTTCTTTGGGTTTTAGGTTCGTCTGCAAAAGAGTTCTTTACCAAATCAAAACTACCGATTTTAGAGTTGTCACATATTTGGTGAGTCAACCCTTTCATCCACAAACACTATGATTGTCTGTGCTGAATGTATACAGTTGTGTTGTGAGGACTGCAGACTCACCTGCGTCTAATGTGTGCTTTGAAGGGAGCTGTCAGACTTCGATAAAGACGGGGCGCTGACCCTGGATGAATTCTGTGCCGCCTTTCATCTGGTCGTGGCCAGGAAAAATGGATATGACCTCCCTGAGAAGCTGCCTGAGAGCCTGATGCCAAAGCTGATTGACCTGGATGACACAGCAGGTCTGCAAGCCTCCCCCCCCACCCTCCCTTCCTCTCACTCTGACTCTCTGTCTGTGCTCCTACCTCCCCTAATGTCCCAGCCTCAGGCCTCATAAAGCCTGTGAGGTTACAGCACTGCAGTAGTAGTAAATCTATACATTTACTCGGGTGATGAAGTTCTTTCTATAATGGAGCTGCTGTAGGTTTCTGCTGCCCTTTCAACGTTATATACTGGACAGCAAAGACAGACTCAATGAGTTGGTCAATTAGACAATTGTTTTCTGTATTTAAGGGAAAGGTAACACACTGATCTTATTCTTAAAATATATATAATATCCCCTAGGGCTGCTCGATTATGGCAAAAATCATAATCTCGATTATTTGGGTCAATAATTGATATCACGATTATTAAAAACGAGTATCCATTTACTTTGAAAACATCCATTTATTGAAAAACAAATGTTGAACAGTATGTTTTTAACAGTACCCTGAACTTTAAGTATAATTCAACTGAAAAACCAATAAAAAATTTAAATAAATAAAAATAATCGTTTTATTTCAATTAGGTTGTTTTCATAATCGTCGCAAACCAAAATCGTAATTGCGATTAAAATACGATTAATTGAGCAGCCCTAATATCCCCTTAAGAGTAGTTGCGTTAATGAACTGCTTACAGGAATTTGGTATAATTTAGTTGTCATATTAAGCATTTCCCTTGTCTGTCTTTCATTTTTTAAATTACATTTTCGATTTACAAAAGAGTATTTCTGTCCTTCAAAAATTAACCGTTTTTTAAAGAGCAAAAACTAGCAAGAAAAGTATTGACAACTTTCTCAAACAACAAATAAAGAGATTATGTATTGCCTTTTGTTTGCCACCCGGACCCCTAATATTGTAGTTGTGGAATAACATGGCTGACCTGTGTCTAATGTTCTGTGTCCAGAGGTCCCGGACCAGGCCGCGGACGTCGGGTACTCGGGCTCCCCGGTGGAGGTCACCCCCAACAAGTCTCCCTCGATGCCTTCACTCAACCAGGCCTGGCCCGAGATGAACCAGAACAGCGAGGTTCACAACACAAACATTTCTTATTGCTCCATGTTCGTTTGCTTTGCTGTGTTGCATTTGATTCATCATGATTAATTGCTGAGGGGTAAATGGGTGCTTTTTCTTTATCCATCCATCATGATTTGACTGCTACTTCATCCTCTTCATCATCAAACATAATTACTGATAATTCAGCACCTCTTCTCTCACTTCCTGTGCTGTTCTGTGTGGAAGTCTGTTGTTCCCACGCCCGCCGATGATGTCACATCGATGGCCGATGATGTCACACGACGGACGCGGCTCGGGATGATGATGTAAATGTGTGATGTCACTGCACTGGCTGACATGTTTTTTCTCACTGTCTGTCTGTCTGTCTCCTGCAGCAGTGGGAGACGTTTAGCGAGCGCTCCTCCAGCTCACAAACTCTGACCCAATTTGACTCTAACATTGCACCAGCTGACCCTGTAAGTCAATCACTTAGTATGCATGGTTTCACCATTAATGGACAGACATTAACCCTCTCTGGATCTCCATGAGCTCTCTCTCTCTGTCTCTGTCTGTCTTTCTCTCTTTCTCTGTCTCTCTCTGTCTGTCTCTCTCTCTCTCTCTTGCTCTCTCTCAATAGCTGTGTTTCCATTCAATTGTCAATAGATCTTTAAGCAAACAAAAATGAATATGAATGCTGGTGTAGAGCAGGGCTATTCAATTAGTTTGGAATGGGGGCCGGTTGAGGAAAATAATCCAAAGCAAGGGGCCGGGAAAAAGATGGCTTGAAATGAATGCTGTCAAAATTATCGCATTAACGGCGGTAATTAATTTTTTGAATTAATTGCGTTAAAATATATTACGCATGCGCAGAATGGCCCGCCCCATACATCCCACCAGTGGCAGCGCCAGGGTATGGCTGGGATAGGCTACAGCCATACCAAGAAATGGCTTAGCCCCACCATGAAAAATGAGCAGTTGGTAAGATTGATTTCAGGAGCCACTTGTCTGGAAATACCGAAGACTAGAAACGGTTTTGAAAACTTTTGTCACGTAGTGATCATCTTCTCAATAGAACATCTTTGATAATGTCTTCTGGCCAATCAGAATCAAGATAACGGCGTGGTGTTGTTGCAGGAAGTCCCGACGGAGAGTACTTTTGCTGTAGCACATCTCTATATACATCGATACAACATTACGTGTTGATAGAAATCAACACGTAATGAAATAAGACCCCACGGTTTGATGATTGATAGGTGTGTGGGCTGTCTTTCATTTTGACACACAGAACAATGTTATCATAAACATACATACTGTATGTTAAATGGATATAGGCCTATCCGCCTTCTTTCATTTATCTTTCCATTCCCACAACAATATACATAAAGAAATGGCATATTTTGGACATAGTTTGAATGGTGATTAATCATGATTAATTCATTTTTAAGCTGTGATTAATCTAATTAAAATGTTTGACAGCCCTACTTGAAATATGAGCAATCATATTAAGGGCTTCAGTAAATACTACAACAGCATAGTGGAGTGCATATATTGTGTTTAATTCAATCAAACAACATAGCCCCAAGGCCTTTATAGGTCTAAATGGCAAGTTCAGAACTCAGTAGGCCTCCATGTGAAGCTAATTTAACCATCAACATCATTTAATCTGATTTAATTTAGGACAAATTATCTAATCATTCACGCAGAGATACAATCAATGACAGGAGTTGTCACTACAGTAGCTAGTAGGTGGGTTCGAAACCCGAGCCCGCCGAAGTTTTCAGGCAATGTCTATCTCTCAATTTAACACCCTCTGGAATAAAGGCACTCTGGCACAAACACAATCTTTAAAAAAAAAAAGAAGAAAGTTGATTACTTTTAAACATTATACTCAAAGGGCCAGAAAATATCACCCCAGTGCCGGATTTTGCCCGCGGGCCGCCAATTGAATAGCCCTGGTGTAGAGTAACTCTGCTACACAGTGTAGTTCTGTCAGAAGTTAGTTTCGTTTTATACATGGCAAGCAAGCGTTGTAAAATAGAATATAATTCCTTTTATTGTAAAAGAAGTAGTGGTTGGAAATTGCAAAACAAACAAGTCCATCTTGCCCGTTTACAAGGGAAACACGGGGGAGAGGATTTCAGGTCTATAATAATATAATAACGGCCATGTTTTGAGATGTACGGAGACAAAGACACAAAGGAACCAGCGGAGTGCTGCAAGTTAGATGCTCTCCACATCATAACGTATTCCTTATTATTGTTTCCATATCCTGGTTATCACATTATCTCCTTTTCGCTTTCGACAAAGGCATGTGATAACCAGGATATGGAAACAATAATAAGGAATACGTTATGATGTGGAGAGCATCTAACTTGCAGCACNGTGTGCCTTGGCAGTCTCAGATTGCCAACAAAGGGTATATAACAAAGTATTGAGATGAACTTTTGTTATTGACCAAATACTTATTTTCCACCATAATTTGCAAATAAATTCTTTAAAAATCAGACAATGTGATTTTCTGGATTCTTCTTCTCATTTTGTCTCTCATAGTTGAGGTATACCTAGGATGAAAATGACAGGCCTCTCTCATCTTTTTAAGTGGGAGAACTTGCACAATTGGTGGCTGACTAAATACTTTTTTGCCCCACTGTATGTGGACTTGGGTAAGACAAATGCCGATTGTGTGCTTTATAGAAATAAATCCTGAACATTTTAAACAACTGAAGAATTTAAAGCCAAGCTACCTCAAAGAAAAGTGAGTTGCACATAATATAACTGCAATTTATAAAAAGGGAAATCAGTTCTTTATTAAGGTGGTGATAGACGTGTTGGACTGCCCTACCTGGGCTGACGAGGGATGCATTCCTGGGATGGCGCTGGATGGCGGCGTGTCCGCTGTGAAACTGACCCAACTCTCCTGACCCGGAGGAGGGGGCGAGTGAGACGGCCACATCCCTTCAGCGGGCACCGCACCTGTGGAGGAGGAGAGGAAACATACAGTTACATCTCCATGATACACACGCGTTATTAGGGCTGCAACTGTAGGCTAATCAATTCAGACTTGACGTTTTTAAGGGATCGTTTTTATACCAGCTGTATTACCAGAGTATCTTTAACACATTTTGTGCTGATGAAAACATTGCTCAGGGCATGTGATGTTCCTCTGTGTTCTCCTAATGACTAACTGATGTAACTGCCACTCTCAGCAAACATCATTTATGTACAAGCTGCAAACATCGGGAAGTAATACAAACACAACTAATATGCTCTGTACTGACTTTTCTGCAAGGTCTTTGTCCTTGCCTCAATGTTCATCACTGGTGGTCCATAAGGAGTTCATACGACTGTAACCAAAATATAATAGCTGGTATGTGTTATTAATCTAAAATGATATATTTAAGCTTTTCAACATCAGAAAACACTCCACTCTGCAGAAGAGTTATCCTTCATCTTGTCGCCTCTTTCCACTGTCTTTAACTTAGAGTTGCAACTGATGATTATTTTCTGTATCTGTTAATCTGATGATTATATTGACAATTAATCAGGAAATAGTGAAAATGTGGTATCTACGTTTCTTAGAGTCCAAGGTGACGGCTTGAAATGTGATGTTTTGTCTGATCAACAGACTAAGGTGCTGCTCACACGGGAACGTTTGCGTTTATGCACAGTATGCGTTTTCAAAAAAGTCTTCCGTTCACACGTATTCGTTTCATTTCACGTTTCTGTTCACACGAGAACGCTGGAAACGCTGTAGTACATATGCCGGGACTGTAAGTGGCGCTGTAACTTCCTCCTCAAAATACATCAAAAGCAGCGAAGGAGACCCCGGAGCAATGTTGCCATGGCTACCCTTCTGTTTATGCCCCGCGGTGGATTTAGCAACTAATAGCCTAAGATATTCAGTCACTAATTATATCAAACAGAAAAGCTGGATCGCTGTAGAGACTGGCACAGAAGAATGCAAGCATTGTTTCTAAACAAACAACAAATTACAATCGATAAACTGATTGTCCTTCACCTATTTGACTACATGTTGCAGCTATACATTAATTAAATATGCCATCATATCAACGGTCGGGAAGTTACCTGCTGCTTGTGCTTCTCTGAAGTGCGTCCACACGGCTCCAGCTGGAACAACGACCGGCTGTCTGTCTGCGTTCCCTCCGCTGGCCTGACGCTTGTGTTTCCTCCACGATTGAGGGGAGGTGGGGGGAGACTGGTGAGGGGAGACCACCGGGGACGTTGGCTCAGGCTGGTAACACACACAACATACAATCAAACACATGAAATATGTATGCAGATCAAAAACACATTCAGTAAACAACTACAGCTTGAATGAGAATCACCAGCTTCTGACATGCAGCGTTATCAAATCTTACATTTGACACACAGTGAGGAAGCAGAAGCTCAGTGTGCAGAAGTGTCACCACTACGGTTATATTATGGTTCCACATGTTATGGGTATTAACTTTCAGATGCCATTTCATATACTATAAGATTTCCATCGCGTACACCCACAGCCAAAAATGACTGCTTCAAAGCTTTTATCATCTGCTCATCACAGATAAGGGATGTTCAAGCTACTAGCTATTTCACAATAGATGCAAATAGATAAGAGGTCTACGTTACTGAGAGGCAACACACTGTAAGAAAAAGTCAGCAGCAGGAAACTTCAGACAGTCATTTGAGCTTTACGGACACAAACATGGACAGGAAAAAACACAGGAAACACGACAGTATTCCGGTAGCTTATCTTTAGTAACGGCTGCACTCAGTTGTGGGAGGAAATCAAATGTAAAAGGAGATAAAAGTAAAGTTCAATGTGTTATTAATTGTGGGAACAATTAAAATAAATAATCTATAACTACTAAACACAGAAAAACACCCCATGTGTTTTTTATTCTTGTTTTATTTTTTTATATTTATTTTGTGCGTATTTTCTTTGCTTGTTTATTTTCTCATTTATTGTATCTTGGTTTGTTTGCTATTTTTGGGTCTTTGAACTGTTCACTGAGCAAAATGCAATACAAATACTATGCGACATCAAATAAAGAATAATTTTAAAAAGAAAATCGAACTAAACTAATACCTTCATTTATTGTTTTTGCATGTATACATGTACAGTATCTTTAAATCAAGCAAAAGAGCAAAGACACGTGATGATATCAAAGACTAAGTAGTCATGTTTGTTTGTACACCAGTTATGGCGCTTTTCCACTGCAGGACCTAGCACGGCTTAGTACGGTATAGTTAGGCCTCGTTAGGCCTGGCTCACTTTATGCTGCGTTTCCATTACAGTTTAGTAGCTGGGGCAGTAACTATAGTAACGCAGTGTAGGCGGAGCCGTGACGTCTTCTTCAATGCGAACCACACTAGACAAAAGTTAAACGAGTACAAACCACAGACTGTCTGTGTCATGGAGAATACAGTCGCTGGTTTATTTATGTCTGTAGGCCGTTGTTGTGAGTGTGGACGGTCGGAGCATATACTGCGTTAGCTTAGCC